ATGTATGTATGTGGGTATATGAATAACGACCGCTTAAAATCGATTTCAAAGTTCTACTTTCGCTGTAGAAATTTTAGGTCTACGTTATGTAGTTTGACTATTGTCAATTAAATCGAATGCTTTGTATTGCATGCGCTCCACGTATTTCATTTTCAATTTCATAGATTGTTTATAATGACTTTTGCTAAAATTTCAAAATCAAAAGTTATCAAAACAAATTCTATGGGACTGAGAAATATTATTTTCTACTTTTTAGTCCATTTATAAAAGCGTTGTATATTAAAAAGTTTTTTTATATTATTTATTTTATTTTGAAATCAAAAAATATTTAGGTAGTGCTCAAAGCGCTCAAAGTTTTCCATGTATTTTATATGGAGAAAAAACAACTTTTCGTAGAAATAGTGTAGAAGTCTTGAAAATCAATATTTTTCGATCGGAAAACTTTACTTATCTTCAGGAGATTCCCAGTAATAATACTCAATTGTTTCTTTAACAAGTTTTTCATGGTAACTATATTTTATAGGTCCTCCAATGCCCTTAGAAAATGCAATGGGGGGACCTATAAAAAATCTTTAATCATAAAAAATGGTTAAATAAACAATTGGATATTAATACTGGAAGTCTCCTAAAGAGAACTACAGTTTTCCGGTCGAAAAATATTGGTTTTCAAGAGTTTTATACCATTTCTACGAAAAATTGTTTTTCTCCATATAAAATACATGGAAAACTTTGAACGCTTTGAGCACTCCCTAAATATTTTTTGATTTCAAAATAAAATAAATAATATAAAAAAACTTTTTAATATACAACGCTTTTATAAATGGACTAAAAAGTAGAAAATAATATTTCTCAGTCCTATAGAATTTGTTTTGATAACTTTTGATTTTGAAATTTTAGCAAAAGTCATTATAAACAATCTATGAAAATGAAAATGAAAAACGTGGAGCGCATGCAATACAAAGCATTCGATTTAATTGACAATAGTCAAACTACATAACGTAGACCTAAAATTTCTACAGCGAAAGTAGAACTTTGAAATCGATTTTAAGCGGTCGTTATTCATATACCCACATACATACATAC